CCAGAATCAGGCAGGAGACTCCTAGAAGCTTATGAAATTATTGCTTAAGAATAGCAAACTTGAAAGAAAGAAATCAGATTTTAGGCACCTCCAAGAAGTGTCTAGGTTAGTAATAACGTGTCATACTGCATCATAAACAACTGGAGAGAGAGATGTAAGTCCCTTACAACTAAGATTGTATTAACCTTGCGTTATTTGTCTTGTTAGGAGCTTATATTCAACTCTCAGCTGGTAAGTCAACTGAGATGTCAAATATTACAATAAGATCTTGAGCCCTTAAAGACTTTGCTACTAGATACAGATATCAACACTTCCTAAACAAACTACATAATGATTCCTGTCCCAAAGAAGTTGCTATCTAGAAAGCTAGTACTTTCCTTGTGCTTCTCCTAAGCACAATTTAAATAAGTGAATGCCATTTCCAAAGGAATTACACGGGAACAACTTGAGATAGAACTGTATTTGTTACAGCAAGAATAATATTTGCTTCAGCACACTAAGCACAAGTTCTAGGACACACAGAAAAACCTTTTTAAATGTTTCATACAGATATTATTTAAATTAGGGGACAGATTTTCAATAATTAATTTATTTTTTTTATACTTTGAACCAGACCTAATCCTGCAATAATCTCCTCCTCTTTTCTAAAGGGTGTCTTTGGAAGAAGTGCTAAAATGGTCCCAGTCTTTTGAAAAGCTGATAACAAGTAAATGTAAGTAATTGATTGTATCCCAGATGGATTACTGAAAAAAGTTCCCATGAAGCAAAATCAGTAAGTCATGCAGTATAACGTATGCTGTCTAATATGCAACTAATGAAAACCAATTTTATGACATGCTTAGCATGCATCACACTGAAAATAGATGTGGCATGCTGTAAATATTTTCCCAAATTTGCCATTTCTGCAGGCACATGTAATTCTTTTAAAGACATGTGATAAGGGCAGGTTTATCTGCCGTTTCCCCACTTCGATCACTGTATAGCAATATATATGTTAGAAGAAAGTGAAAGGCAGGTTGACTTGAGAAATCCTGTGTATGGCAAAGGCACCATAACTAATGGTACATCTATACAGTGTTACATTATTTTCAAATTACAAAGAGCAAGAAGATTAACAGACAGAATTTGTAACAACTATAAGAAAAATATTTTGCCATTACAGTCTTTAACAGCAAACAGCCTAGTATATTACAGTTTGCAGGGAAAGCACGGGGAGAAAGTGCACAACAGAAAACATTTAAAAGAAACAAAAGTATAGCACAAGCACCAGACATGCACGCGATCACCGCTACTGCCAGGTGACAGGTAGTGCTCAATGTTTGTAGAAACATGAAAGCTCAGAGTGGTGCACCAGCAGGAAAGCTTACTTTAAATAAAATGCTTCTAGCTTCCAGCAGTAATCTTACTCTGCCCTTCTTAAAACACCTCGCTCGCTGCCCTTAGATGGCACTATTTGTTGATTTTTAATTCATTTAAATGCTTAATGACAACAGAAAATGCAAAGGTGCACCCACCTAAAAAGCCAGAAACACTAAACCCAATGGATTTGCAGCTCTTTATGAGAGGCAGGCAAAGTGTGTGCCTATCTTAGATGTACTTTCAGAGTAAAAGCTTACAACTGCAAGCAGCATTCCTGATCAAGTGCTAGAAGCCTTATAAATGTTCTTCTGGCTAGAGACATTTTAGCAACTCTATCACCTAATCCCGTACAAAGCAAGCCTGATGACATGACAAAAGGCAGCCTCAGGAATTTAATCTTTGCCAAGATCCCACTGATTGCTGCTGTCAAACTCCATTGCCAGGTGTTTTGAAGACATCCTCAAGTGCAGAACCACTCATTTGCTGAACAGGGTATTCTTTTAACTGCTTTACTTAGCTCGGTTACAGCACAAAAAACAATTCCTTTTTTTTTTTTTTTTTACTAATTGCTTTTCCCCCAAATCCTTACACCAAGAAAGGAAATTCTTTTATTTATATATATATATAGGTTTTACACAGATCATGATTATTTGATAATACTTAGATATGTTCTGTACAAAACTGGAACTGGAATTTAAAAACACTTTTCAGTCTTTGGATTTGTTTGATAGTGTTCACAGAGACCAGGAAGAACAGAGTTTTCAGTGCTCTGCACAGTGAAATGCCACCAAGGTTAAAGGGAGCTCTGCATGCCTAGGAAAAAGCAATGTTGAAGTGTAGGGCTCTGGGGTGAGTTAGTGTGTTTGATTCCCCACTTTGATATAATCTAATAAGAACATTTATAGGTGTACAATCAAGTATTATACTGCCTTGTAAACATCCCTATTGCCTTCAAAGGCCTCTAAAGGTAATACATACATAGTATATAAAATTGGCTTCTGACATATTTACAGATGGGCCTATGATCTACAAGACCTACTTAAAGACAGAGCACAGCGATGAAAATATAGAGTTCTGGCTTGCTTGCGAAGCTTATAAGAAGATCACATCACAGAGGAAAAGGATTTCTGCGGCCAGGAAACTTTTTACAAGTTACATTGAACTCCATGCTCCCAATGAGGTGACACACAATAACATGAGCTCTTTATTTCCTCTGAGAGAGATGTCTGATGTGTAACGTAGCTGACAAAAACCAACAACAAATACTTAGCACCCCTTGTATTAAAGGGAGTGAAAACTGTTGCTATTCATCCTCCCCAAACTCTTTTACACCCAGAGTTTTAATACTTGCCTTCACATCTTGTCTATAGGCAAATCTTTCAACTATATCCACCAAGGATAGAAGCAAAAGGCACAACTAGATTAAGAACCAAGTTCTTGGATCTGTTCTGTTCTATTTAGCATCTGATCCAGGGGCCATTTATATCACTTCAATAGATTTTGGATTATGCCGTTGCTACCTGTATATATCACTCTGCTCTTTGCAAGAGTAAATAAAAATGAACGAAGTAAAAACTCTACCAGTGCTGTCCCCTTTGTAAAAAGGGCTAAAAGAAAGGTTCCAAGATAGATAATTACTTTCTGCTTCCAGCAACACAAAATTTATGGAAAAAAGAGCAGATTTGTATGTAAAATGTTTGAGAGTGATTTTTTTTTTTCTGACAAGTGGCTATACAAAAAAGTGATTCCTGCTCAGCCAGTTATGCTCTATGACCTTTAAATATTCCAAGCGATTACTTTCTTTGTAAAAATAAGCTAATCTGGCTTTTACTGCTGCTGCCTCTGGCAGACTGACATAACTAAAAAAAACCCCCAAACAGGCTAGATTATTTTCTGGTTTACACATAACAATAAAACTATTATAGAGCCTCAAAATGCAGCCTCCCTGTTGACATTGAAAGACAAGCCAAAACCAACTCAGCTAGCTTCCCAAATGTTGGCTGAGAGCAGTTGATGCTTTAAATGACTAACCCATTCTCACTAATCCAAAACTTGAGGAAATTTGAAAGTTCCCTCTGTTGGTTTTAAATGCCAATTGGAAAGACAATGCATTTTTCTGTCTTTTTCTGATTTATTTTTAGCATATGCAGCTATAGAAAACTCAGCAAGACGTTTGCATTTCTAGAAGAGAAATGTCGGTATTGCCAAACACAAATTCATTAATCAAAAGTAAGGGCTTAAATCAGGACAGTTAAAAATAAACTATGTTTTTGGGGGTTTTTTTCCCCTAAAATAGTACGTATTTGAATCTTGCTATTGGCTGTATGGTTTCTATGTCTTCAGGACACACCGATTTCACATTTTCTTGGTATTCGCTATTAACAAAAGAACTAGGTACCACTCTAAAAAGGTAGAGGTTCATGAGGATTTAAAACACAGTTTACATTCAAATTTCAGCAGCATTTAAAAAGGTGCAACTCAAATGACTCCTCTGGAAGAGGAAGATCCTAACCCATGAAAGACATCAGCACTAACCACATCTTTAGAGCTCTCCTCTTACACTAACCAAGTCAAGCTGGAAAAAAAAGCAATGTAATTTATCATGAACTAATGGATTATCAAGAGTTCCCATTTTATTTGGTATATTTTCCTATCACTAGACCTTTCTACTCTTACACACCTACAGAGCTTCAACTTATAGCAGCAGAAGAGCTCTGGAAATCAAAACTTTTCCTAAACAAGGTTGATATATGGGCTCATTTTGTCTTACCTCAGAGATCATAATAATTTTAGCAATTGGTTTTCACTGGTACTGTGCACCTCCAGCCACTTGGACTCATTAGAAATCGAGAGTCAGGCTTCCTCTTCAGGCATCTAACCCTAGCTCTAGGACCAATTCTTAACAAAAGAAAGAGGGGCTGGATGTCAGCACCTTCCAGTTACTCCTTGCACTGTAGCCACTCCATGCAAACCATGTCCTCAGGACTTCTTCCTCTGCCTAAATCATACATACGCTCGTATTCTTTCTAGAAGTAATGAGCAAATCAAACATATACTGCTTAACCTCCCTAAGGTTTGAAGTCTTGGAGCCATATTCTACATATGGGCCCAGCAGTAGTGACTTTACCACCGCTCTTGACCTCCACTGATCACAACAGTCAGGATTTAACTGGCTTTTCCATTAAGGTTGTGGGGCAGACTGGGAAATTCAGACACTTCCCAGTCTTCCAGGCATCTTGTCCCCAAGGGAACATGCTCCCCATCCAGCCCCTGACATACATCTTACTAAATCAAACACCAAAAAGAGGAGCAAATTGGTCAACCAATAGGATGTGGTGTTCTCACATTATAAGGAGAAATCCACTCTGCTAGAATCAATGTTTTTGGTTAGATGCTGCCCAGTCTTACAGGCATCTTGTCCCCAAGGGAGCATGCTCCCCATCCAGCCCCTGACATACCTCTTACTAAATCAAACACCAAAAGAGGAGCAAATTGGTCAACCAACAGGATGTGGTGTTCTCACATTATAAGGAGAAATCCACTCTGCTAGAATCAATGTTTTTGGTTAGATGCTGATTTTAGAGTGTATATAAAAAGAGAAAAGGCATTCAGTACAGGTCCCCTAAATTACCCTTCCTTTGCATATATTCAGTGATATTTTAGTACCATTGTTTTCTGTTTCAGATTAACATTGACAGTCCTGCAAGGAAAGCAATTATAAGGAATATTCAAGAGCCAACGCAGTCCTGTTTTGATGAAGCACAGAGAATAATTTACATGCACATGGAAAGAGATTCTTATCCAAGATTTCTTGAATCAAAGTTCTATCAAAAACTCAAACGCAGCCTTCAAACTAATGGCGATAATTCAATGGTAAATTAAAGAGGAAGGTTGAAAATTTAGAAAGGTTTCTTCTGGCATGCAAGTGTTTAAGATTTAAAGTAGACAGGAGAAATCAGACAGTAGACAAATATTATTACAAATCTGCTAAACGGTTCTGTTTGTTAGAATTGATGAGGCCCTATCTTCCCCCTTCCCTTTCTTTTCCCATGGAAGAGTTCTGGTTTTGTTTTCCTCTCCCCTCAGTAAAACCCTAAAAACTAGTAAAAACTAGGTATAAAAAAAAAGTTTCAACCAAAAATGATAGGCTAAGGTTCTAGTATTTTATGATATTTGACAACTCTAATAACATTTTCAGTATTCTTGTTTTGAGAGATTTGAAATAAAATAGTTTTGCTGCTATAGGAAATAAACATTTATTTGGCCATACATAACACAGAAGACATCTGCATTGCTGCATTTACTCTTTTGTTGTTGTTTTATTCTTGTATTCTTTCAAAGTAAAAGATAAATTCTGAAGTACAGTTGTTTGCTTAATATTAAGCTATAAAGTGTACTATTCATATGGTGCAGAGTCGATTTTATGCTGAATTATGATGTACAACATACGCTATAAAGGTACTTGGCCTACAGTATACTATAATACTACTTGAATTTATTTCCAGTGATAAAACTCTTAGTATTTTGTCTTTTTTTTTTTTCCTGGGTATGGACACACAAATCTATTGCTTTCCCTTCAGGCACCCTAATAATTAGATACAAGCAGACCTGACATTTGAATATCACACTGTAACACAAACAGGTCTGTTTCTCTCATGCATAAGCTGTAAAAGAAAACTTGTCAATTCATTGATCGAGTATTGGAGCACTCTGGTTTACATTCAAAAACCAATCTGACTTCTCAAATCTCATTAAAACTGGAATCTCTTAATACTTTTAGTGGACTTCAGCATAGGCACTAAAAGCCATAGGAAATCAGAGACCTTCCTAGCATCCTCTCAAGCTGTGTTATTCCAATGAATACAACAAACAAGTCATTCTGACAGCAGCCCCCAAATCCCAATAGCACCACACTGATCCTCTGGGATGATTTCACAGGAGAAATGAAGTAGTTATTCAGTTGGATACATTTATTTGACTGAGGTACTTCAATCATGTTGCCAGTTCCCGCTTTTTAACAATTTAAGCTGTAACTTGACTGCCTAGTTTAAAAAGTCAAGTTTTGTGACAACGTAATAAATCACTGTCTCCTCTCTGTTGGGAAAGCCTAGTCTTTCTATGGGAGCCTCACAGCAGTTCATTGTTCCACTTAACAACAGTCAGATTTGTTCCCACTGAGAACATCTCTTGTTTTTTCTATGTGAATGTCTAAGCCTTTCCCTTACAAGGCAAGCATGAAAACACAGGTCAGTGCAGACAATGAACAAACGATTGGGTTTCACTTTTGTGGCATCTCTCTTAGTGAGGATAAACTATAGTTGTTCTTTTAAGATGTTCCTCTTGCCAGGGTAATAAAATATTATATATGAATATATTTTAAGGTAGTCTCAATTCCTCCTAAAAAAAATTATCATTGCTTAGCACCTCCGAGCAGTGGTATTATTGTGCTGCACAATATCAGTTACATTTGGGAAGAAGGACAGCAATTTATTGATGATAGATAAGTATGTTTATCAACAGCTACCAAATGCATAATATGATGTCTGGCTTTATATGAATTTATATTGGTAAATCATAGCTGTCTATGTGTGCTCTAATGGCAACAAGTGAACTACATTGTAAGTGATCATGTTGTAACTTATCAGCAATTATCTGTGGCTCCATGAATTCTTTTATCTCAAGTTAGAATTTATGTACATGTCTAAAGCAGAATACAAAGCAAGTCTGAGCATAACCTACACTAGTACAGAAAGCTTTAAGTAACTCAGTGTTGTAAGAAAAGAGATTGTTAGTATAAGAGATAATCCTTTCCTTTTGCACTGACCCCATATAAAAGGATCATCATACAAATGTGTGAATATTCAGCTTGTAAAACCCCTTTCAGCAAGGACTCCATAAGAAATCCAGCTAGGGATAGAGTAGCTTTTGCTGTTGTTAACTTCTGATGTATGTACAGTGCACACTGTATGTACAAGACTTTGGCTCGATTGATCCTGCAGATGCCACAGCCTCACAGCAAAGAAAAACTGCAGGAACTATTAAAAAAACAATTCCTGCAGGGAAGCAGATCTGTGACAAAAGTCAGCCTGAATAGAGAGAAAAACAAACAAACAAGGGACTACATTGTGAAAAGCCTTCCCATTTCTGTCAGGATTAGACGTTCAGAAGAGCTAGATATTGGTCTCTGAGAAGAGGCTTGTAACGACCAAGGATAATAGCTCTCCACATCCAAACAGGCTTATAGCATGCAGCCTTCTGAAGGGGTTACACAAAGAGGCTGGTCAGGTAGTGTGTTGATAGACAGAACCTTTCTCCCTGCAGAAAGATTATCCAGAAGGAGAGGAGGAAAAAAAAATTTAAAAAAATATTAATCCTCCACAGAGAATGCTCAGAGAAATCATAGACGGACTGACAATCACATTTTTATGGCATGAAATGTTTAGCATTTATTTTGCTAACAGGTCATGAGTCTAGCAACCCTTATTGCTGGAGAGTTTATTAACTTTATATTTCCTTCTAGAAATAACTAAAAGCTTTTATTAAGTTGAGAAGAAGAAAGGGTCCTTTTCCCAAAATAGATTTATTGCTAACTGGTAGAAATCTTTCTCTTGCTTGATTTTTCTTTTGTGTTACCAGACATGTGACAACAACAGTGTATTTCATCAGGTCACACGATTCATAAAACAGTAACTAATGGCAGCAGCAATAACAAATCACTGCTTTTAACATTTTCATTAACAGCACTTAAACGAGCGCAGGTATACTTTCCACTGGCAGACAACACTAAAAGGCATTTGCTGACATTAATCATTCAAAGCTACTGTTAAGAAAGATAAAAAAACTTTAGCTAAATTGGCAGAATTCTCTCCCATTCTTCACTCATTTACTTAGTAGGAATAAAAAAAGACAATGGCAATTCTTCAAACACATTAAATCTCGCAAGATAAAGGTGTAGATTAATAAAACCACTATAGCAATTAACTGTAGCCAACCTTGGAAACTGTTGACCTATTGAAGCTCCCCCCCGAAAAAACCAACCCAAAAAACAAACACCAAAAAACCACCATACTAGACAGATGGTCGGGGGTGTGTGTGTGTGGTGTGTGTTTGGTTTTTCTTTTAAAGAGAGCTGCCAATTAGATCATTTTCACTTTGTAAATATGAGTTGCATTGGCCTACTTTCTTGATAGAAGTGATGAAACTCATACTCTATTGTTATACTGCTGTTTTCATGAGTTTTACGTCCACTCTTGGTGTCTAGGTGATAAGTGTAAAATAACAAACGCAGTCAGTCAAAACAAAACTGTAAGAATAACATAGCCTAATCTTTTCTGTACAGATAGGTGGTAAATGAGAATATATAATGCCTTTCTATTGTATGATCAAAATAAGTGAGTTGTCAGGAGGCTTTTCTCTTAAGTTCTCAATTATTTCCTACTTCCATATTAACTCTAGATATTTCTGCTTTTAAATCCCAAGAAATAAACTATCAGCAGTCTCCCTCTAAGCATAGTAATGAAATAATATCCAGAACTTGGCATTGTAGACAACAGATTTAAATATTATAAGCAGAAATGTTTATCACTAATTACAGGGCAGATGAGGATGTTTAGGAGCTTACAGCCTCAGAGGAAAGGGAAATGACTGTAGCATTTCCAAGTATCACCAAATATACACTACTGTTGCAATCACAGGTCCCTTCAGAAACTGATGTTTGGTCTAATGTTCACTAAACAGAGGGGAAGAGCCCAATGGAAGAAGTCTTCCAAAAAGAACCTTTTATCGCACATGCCAATTAGCTGGATTACGTGGCTACAGACCACAGCCTTTTCAGGGCAAAACCTGCATCCCTAACACAGGCTTGCCTACAGTGTCCTAAAGTGAAGCTTCACAGTGGCAGTAACCTCTCTCAGTAGAATAACCCATTTATTTAATAAGTTGTCTGTAGCACAGAGCAACTGTACAGCTTTGATTTCCAAATCTTAAATTTCAAACCTAAAAAATTTTAGAAAAATATATTTTTTAAAAAATCAAATTTAAAATAGCAGCCTCATTTCATGATCTGATTAGAATACACAAAGGGTTCTAACTTTTTTTCCTTTAAATGAAAAAGAAAAAAGAAAGAACTGCAAAAATGTAGAAAGATAAACATACAAAAGAAGCAAGTTACATATTGGGGAAGCAAATCACGTAGCCAAGCACTCTTTTAGATACTATGTACAATAGATACACAGATTCTAAGAACTATGAATTCTTGTCACACCAGCAACAAGGTATCAGCCACTACAGCCAAATTGCACAACTGATTCTTAGACAGGAATGTAAATTAGTAAGAGCATGATAGCATCACATTATGAATTCCAGGCAGTGTCTTTCCATTAATTTTAACATGTCTGCAGATCCTCATAGAAATAGTGACATGGAATGAGACATCTGGAGACATATTGCAAATGGTCAGCATTAAGTACATATACCTTCTGTCTTGATTCAGTTGCACAATCACTTTATGGTACGTAGTGCCCTTGGGCTAAGACTTCCCCTGGGGCTGGTACCTACTGCCCATTCCCTGCTGCAGCAGTAAATGGAGGTCACAGGTACCCCAGAGCATCTCAGTAGGACTTGATGCCTGTGTTTACACAACTGAATCCAGCCTGCTTTAACTGTATTAGCTAAGGTTTCACATTTGCTAGCTTTTTTTACCCACCCCTGGCATTTAAAACCATTCACTGAAAAGCTGTTTTATCTATAACTTTATTTTCCCCTCCAAAACGGCTATTATAATTATCTCAAGATGACCATGCTTATACAGAAATCTTTGTGTCCTGTACCTCAGATTTTGCTCAACTCCAAGCACAATGCAATTACCCAGGGAC